GTTGCAGCAGCACTTCTTATTGTATGCAACATTAACACTTTACATAAAATCCATAGCCAGCCTGTACGCAAGTAGAAATAAAATAAATAAATAAATAAATAAACAAATAAATAAATAAAAAAATAAATAAAATAAAATAAAATAAAACATTATCAGCAGCAGCAGCACCCTCCCTGTTATTTGAATCGACGTTTCTGCTGCATCTGAATGAGCCCAGAATAAGAAAACTCCCAAAATTAAATAAAATAAAAAGAAAAAAATAAAAACAAATATAAAAACATAAATAAAAATAAAAATAAATATAAATATAAATGTAGGGTTTAATACAGAAAAGAAGAGGGGATTAACAGCTCCCGTGGCTCAGTTGGTTAGAGCATTGGTCTTATGAACCGAAGGTCAGGGGTTCGAGCCCCCTCGGGAGCACCTTTTNCTCAGTTGGTTAGAGCATTGGTCTTATGAACCGAAGGTCAGGGGTTCGAGCCCCCTCGGGAGCACCTTTTAATATATTTATTTTTAAATTGCGTTTATTTTTTTTTTTTTTAAATAATATCCCTGAAATATCTCAGGTGTATGTACAAAAAATATATATATATATAAGTAAATACAACTCAGCTACTGCTAAGCCGTGCAGAAACGAAAAGCTAGAAAGAAGAGTTTATTAAGGATTAGGATCTGTATTGGGGTGTATAGAAGAAGTAATTGATGCAAAAGAAACAAAAAAGTACAACAAACAGCGAATTTCAAAAAAAAAAAAAAAAGAGAAAGCAGGAAGAGAGAAGGTGTATCTATAGACCCAGAAGATAAATAAGCTGAATCGAGCCATAAACATAATAAATAAACGAATAAAATTTAATTAAATAGGTAAAAACAAGGTAAAAACCACCAAATAAAGTAACTTTATACAATTCAAAAATTCATGTTTCATATGCTGAGGTGTACGTACACCTGAAATTTTCACAAATGAATGCGACGGTGTTTTCAGCGATCGCCACTTTTGAATTTCTGTATTTCTTCTACGCGATCTGTGCTTCTAAGCCCATCAAACTGAATTTTTTTTGCAGTTTTCAGTTAAAAAAAACTTTATTTTTTGATGTTTTTCTATATTTTTGGAGAAATTAGCGACAGAAACTCCTGAAACATGCACAAACCGCATCAAGGAAAGCGAAGGCAGCAGCCAGCCCCGGCCTTCGCATGCAGCGTGGGGGGGCCCCCTGCACGTAGCGTCGGCGTAACTTTTTTAGAGAATGTCTAAATTTATTGATTAAAAAACAAGAATTAATGGAAATATTTGAAGAAAATGACTCTAGAGAGGCCTATTGGCCCCTTAACTCCCCCTCAATTCGCTGCTAGGGTGGGGGAGCTCGTGGATGCTTGTCGAGCTTGCACGAAACCAAAAGACTTATTGCAGAACTGTGAGGAGTTATTTCGGTTACTATGCAGTAAGAAAGTTGAATATGAAGTTTTTTTTAATCCTTTATCTATTTATGAGCCTACAGAGAAGGAAGAAGAAGAAGAACAAGGATTAGCGTTTAAAGAATGGCTACATAAATCATTTCAGGTTTTTGTTTCTATTGTATTTGAACTCTTAGAATCTAAAGAAGCATACATGCAGCAGCTAGGTTTATCTTATTTATTTAGGATCGTGAAGCATGAAGCACAAGTACATAAATCTTCTTTATTTCCTCTTTCTATATTTCAAGTTTTTGTTTCTCGGCTGTTGCAGCTCAACTCTTACTCTAAATATCTACAAAATATTTTGCTAAAAAATTATGCAGAAAAATTTGTTGATGTTCGATATTATCTTCTTGTTGTTATTCAAAAAATATTAAGAGAATTCACCGCAAGCAAAGACAAAAACAGCAACAAACAACAGCAACACACAGCTGCTGCTGCTGCTGCTGCTACTTCTGCTGCTGCTGCTGCTGCTGCTGCTGCTGCTGATGATGATGATGATGCTGATGATATTGATGCTATTGATGATGAATATACAGAGGAAACAGAAAAAAAGAAACATGTTGAATGGTATGTATGGAGAAAAGGAGAAGCTGAGTTGAGCAGCAGACTCAGCTCGTTGCTGCTGCAGCTGGCAGATACAATCTCAAAATACAGATATATGGGAAAACACAAAAAAAACAGCAGCAGCAGCAGCAGCAGCAGCAGCAGCAATGGATTGAACGATGAAGAAGAAGAAGAAGAAGATATTGCTGATGATGATGATGATGATGAGGAGAATGAATATAAAAACAAAAGAAAATATAAAACACTTATTTCAGGTTTGAGTGGTGCTAAAGCTCTAGAAGGCAGCAACCACCGCCTCGTCTATCAGAATGTATGGCTGCTGCTGCTGCTGCATGTGCAGCACAGCAGCAGGATGCAGCAGCAGCTGCTGCTGTCTATACCTTCTCGTGTTCTTCCTCTTTTATCTAATCCTCTTCTTCTAGCGGAGTTTTTTATAAAAATGTTTACACACAGCAGCAAAATATCGCTGCGTATTTCTTCTCTATCAGGTCTCTTCTTCTTACTAACAAAACACAGACTAGGCAATCCAGAGTTAATATCATCAGCAGAAACAAACATAAACAACAATATAAATAATATAAATAATATAAATAATATAAATAATATAAATAATAATAATATTAATATAGATTCAGGAGAAGATAGAGGAGAAAGAAGAAGAGAAGATGCAGCAGCAGCAGCAGGAGCTCATTTGTATCAACAGCTGTATAAACTACTAACCCCAGCAGCTTTCTCTGTTCGTCTTCGTTTTCGTTTTTTGCGGCTTTTAAATATTTCATTGCGCAGTGATTTGTTGCCTTCTTCTTTGATTATTAGATTTATAAAGAAGTGCTGTCGTGTTGCTTGTTTTGTCTCTCCTGCTGCTGCTCTTTGTCTGCAAGCTCTTGCTGCTTCTCTCTTACAAAAATACTTCTTTATATGTAAACCCATCATCAGTATACCGCTGCATGCAGCACAGCAGCTCAGGGTCTGTGGTGATGCCTTTGATTACAATACAGCCAAAATCAGCAGAAAAAAACAAAGTGCTGCTGCTGCTCCTGCTGCTCCTGCTGCTGCTGCTGCTGCTGNCTGCTGCTGCTGCTGCTGCTGGAGAAGGAGGTGTTGCTGCTGCTGCAGCAGCTGCAGCAGCAGAGAGCTGTGGTTCTTCTTCAGATGAAGCAGAAGAGGAAGAAGCAGCAGCAGCAGCAGCAGCAGCAGAAGCAGCAGAACAGGAGAATATGATACTGAGAGTAGCAGCAGCATCTCGGCCTTTAAGTATAAAAGTAAACAAAAAAGAAATATCTCCGCTGGCTAGAAAAGAAGGAAAATTATCTCTTTGGGAGATACAGCTGCTGCAGCAGCACGCGCTGCTGTCTGTGCAGCAGTTTGCATGCATCTTCAACTCAGATTTCAGCAGCCCCGCATGCAAAAAAATAGTAATAGAAGATTTTCTTAGCGTGACCAGTGGTTCTCTTCTTTCTAAAGAAATTAAATATATTCATAAACACACACAAAACTCTCTTTCTTTTTTATTTAAATATAATTATAATAACACAACTACTACTACACCACCACAGGATGTATATACACTGCATGCAGCAGCAATGAATCTATCTCGTCTTTATTCCTCCTCTTGATCTTTCTTTCTTTCTTTCTTTCTTTCTTCTTTGTTTGTTTATAAAATATTATTTTATTTACTCTTTTATTTTTTTAATGTTTTAATGTTTTTCTTTGTTTTTCTTTTTTTTATCTCGTTGACGCACCATGCAATATGAAATGCCTCTCTCAGGTTCCTCAGATTGCTGCTGCTGCTGCTGCTGCTGCTGCTGTTGCTGCTGCTGCTGTTGCTGTTGCTGCTGCTGTTGCTGCAGTTGCATCCAGCAGCAGAAGCAGCAACAGCAGTGGAGCTGCCGCTGTACTCAGCAGCAGCAGCAGCAGCTCAGCTGCTACTGAATCCAGCAGCAGCAGCAGCAGCAGCAGTTGCTGCTGCTGCTGCTGCTGTTATTAACTGCCCTTAATATTGTCTATTTCCTGTTGATAGACTGCGTTATTTGAATCTAACTAAAGACTAAAAAGAAATAAATTTAATTAAATGTTTTATGATTTGCTAGAAAGAAGAAAACACGCAGCAGATACCTGTGCATACACCTGAGCTGTACATACACCGCAGCAACGTGGTTGTTGCTGTATATAGAAAATGATTGATTTGTTTATTTGTTTGTTTGTTTCTTTTATAAAACGATAAAATTTAATTATTTTATTTAAACAAATCTGCAAACGATGAGAAAAGAAAAGAAAAAGAAAACAGCAGAAGCTGCAGCTATCCACTAAAACAAAAAAAAAAAAGAAAAAGAGAGAGAACCTCCCTCTTTTTCTTTTTTTTTTTTTTTTTTTTTNAAAAAAAAAAAGAAAAAGAGAGAGAACCTCCCTCTTTTTCTTTTTTTTTTTTTTTCTTTTTCTCTCTTTTTGTCTTTCTATACAGTAGGCAGACAGACATACACATGCAAATGTACTAAAAACAACAGCAGCAATAGCAACTGCAGCGGCAGCAGCAGCAGCAACAGCAGCAGCAGCAGCAGCAGCAGCAGCAGCATGAGGTGGTGTGTTCTTCTTTCTTTGCTTGCTTAATTGCGCTGTCTATACACCTGATATTTTCTTCTTTTTTCTGTTTCTTCTTTTTATTTTAATTAAAATAAAAACAAAATTTATTATTTCTTTCTCTCTTTGCTTATTTCGCTGTCTCCTCATTATCATTGCCTTCCACCGCTCCCTCTTATCTTCTTTTTATCTATTTACTCATACTGCTGCTGCTGCTGCAGTTGCTACTGCTGCTGCAGTTGCTGCTGCTGCTGCAGTTGCTGCTGCTGCTGCATTTGCTGCTGCTGCTGCATTTGCTGCTGCTGCTGCAGTTGCTGCTGCTGCTGCAGTTGCTGCTGTATCTGCTGCTGTTTCACGATGTGCTGCTGTTTCTGCTGCAGCTGGAGTTGCTGTTGCTGGGGTTTCTATTTATATTGTTGTTAATTTATTTATTTATTTATTTAATTTATTTAATTTATTGAGTTTATTATTTTTTATTTTTTTTTATTTAGTTTATTTTCCTTCTACATATTGTCTCGCGTATTCATCTGTAATTTTCATCGCATCTTCAATCGTTCTTTTCCCAAAACGAGAAGAGAGAGGAGGCCAAGCCCACTTGGGTATAAAGCGTAGCGGGTCTGCTGCTGCTGCTGCTTCTGCTGCTGCTGCTGCTGCTGCTGCATCACCATCTGCTGCTGCTGCTGCTGCTGCTGCAGTTGCTGCTGTTCCTCCTACACATGGCCTAATAAAGACACGAGCTTCTACGTTATTTGTATTCTCTTTTTCATCCTTATCACTACCACTACTACCATCCCCGCTGCTGCTACCACTGCTGCTGCTGCTGCTGCTGCTGCTGCTGCTGCTGTTGTTTGTGAATTCTGCAGCAAGACAAAGAGCTCTAGGGCTCTCTAGATAGCTGCGTTGAAGGGGAAAGATATCAGTACCCGTCATAGATAAGCCCCAGTATCCATCATATATAAAAATTTTTCCTGTATGTTGTGCTGCTGCTTGTGTTTCTGTTTCTCCTGCTGCAGCAGCAGCATAAACTGCAGCAGCAGCAGGAGCATCCCACTGCCATAGTTGGTTTAAATTCTGTCTTCTTATTACACCATTCCAATCACATTTATATAATATAGGAGAAGAAGAAGAACTATCAACAACACTATCTAAACATTTTGCTGTTCCTCTATTCTGTAACATTCTGTTGCCGTTCACTGCCTGCCATTGCTGTGTACATACACCCCAACAC